CCCCCCAGCCGCTCGGCCTGCAGGTGCAGCCCGGCCCGAGCGGCAGCTGGCCGCAGCAGCAGCAGCAGCAGCCCCCGGCCCGCCGAGAGCACCAGCAGGCCCCTCGCGAGCCGCCGCCGTCCAGAGTCTCGGGCAGTGCCAGGCCCATATCGCCTACGACACAGAACGAGCGACGCCAAAAAAACGGGGTCGTCTTCGCTGACGTTGGCGTGTGAGCTGCCCGCGTAAGGTCGCGCGCAAGCGCCCTCGCCTCCAATGCGGCGTACCGCGCGGGCGGCCCGCGTAAGCTGCGGCGTAAGGTCGCCGTGTCATCTCGCGTAAGACCCGTTTTGGATCGTCGCTCAGCTCACACGATCAAATCGGGACCCCAAATCCTGTTCCCCCAGGGAGATGAGGGGCGGGATCCAGACGACTTCCTCGCGTCGTGCAAGAGTCAAGACCGGGCTTTCGCCGCTGCCGGCCCCTGGGGGCCGCTTTTTTCCCAGTTCTCCGTCGATGCGCTTTTTTTTTGCAACTGGCGGCTTCTCCTCGCGGATTCGGGCCTCCTGGGCCCCGTGTTCGGGCCACAGGGCCACCAAACATGGTCCGGGGGGGAGGAGCTGGCCCCGGGGCAGGGGTCGGGCTTCGTGGGGCCGCGCAGCGAGGAGCTCATACCGCCGAATGTCCTGGGGGAGCCCCCGGGTCCGCCGGGAGCAGCAGCGTGCGCCTCGCGGCCGCCGCTGGTCGCAGTCTCTCGGGGGCACGGTCAGGGGGGGATCGACTCGGTGGGGTATGGGGGAGGCAGAACCCCACCCTTGAACCCAGACCCTCCCGTTTTTCGGGGGGGGGGGGGGGTCGAGGCGAGGTATCCAGGACCGAGGTCGTGGGGAGTTTTTCTGGAGATTCTCGTGGATCCAGTATGGAGGCCTTGAGGACTTTCTGGAGGTTCTCGTCGTCGCGGCTGGGCGCGGCTGGAGAAGCTGGCCAGGGTGCATCCCGGGAGGGGCCTGGGCCCGAACGGATTTGAGCCGACCTCGCGCCTTTGCAGCCGCCGCCGTCGCAGTCCCTCGGGAGCAACGTGAGGACATCGGCTCAGGGGAGACGAGGTTTCGAGGTTCGAGGTTTTTGGGCGTCTTCGTCTGCCCTCGGCGGCTCTGCTGAGCGTTGCCAGCCTCGGGATGCGTGCCGGCGGCTGTGCCTCGCCGAGGCCCAGATCGTCCCGAGCCGCCGCCGGAGAGCCGAGTTATGACCCGAAAGCCGAGAGGCACCGTACAGCCGGGGCCCTGCAGAAGGAACCCTTTTCGTTGGGGAGGGGCTCGGTGTTCCTTGATTGTTCGACAGTTTGCCTTAGGTTTTCCTTAGGTTTTCCATGGGGAATCGAAGTTTAACTTATGGGAAAGATGGGGCCTCGTTCCTTATATAGGGTTCCTTAGGTCAAGGCCCCAACTGTAAGGGGGGGATGGGCTCGGGGGGGGATGCCGACACCCAACCGCCCATCGATCGCCTATAGGGGTCCGATGCTGCGCCCCGACCAGCGGCGTGCGCATTTGCCATCGGGGGCCTATCGCCGATCGATCGGCAGTGCATCGCCGATTCCAGGTCGATGTTTTCCGCCCCGAATTGGTTCCCCCCAACTTTCTCCCTCGCCGTCGCAGTCTCGGGCAGTGCCAAAGAGGACACCTCCTCCTGGGAGACCCCCACCTCCTCGCGCTCTGCAGAAGCCGCGACGGACAGTTTTTGGCAGTCTTCGGACTCTGGGGGGCCCTTGCCTGGCCCCTGGGCCGTCAAAAACTACTCGGGATGAACAGCCTGTGCTGGGAAGCGGTCGAGCACTCCGGGGAGTCCACGTTCTGGCAAAGTCGCGACGCCGGTGTTTGGGATTGGGGAGGTCACCACCACCTCCCTTTGGGAGTCTAGGTTCGGGGAGGAGGGAGCTCGAGGATCGATGAGGTCTTGGGGGTTTCGTTGGGGGCGCCTCTGGAGGTCCTGCGGGGGGTCTGGGTGCGTCCCCGTCCTGGAGGAGGCGGCGACCCTCACTGGGGCAGGGCTCTCCAGTGGCGCTGCCTGGGCCGCAGCCGTCGCCCCCGGACCCCCAAACTTCCCGTCGCCCGGCTTTCGATCAGGGGCAACGATGAGGGGGGGATAGGCACAGGTCAGGAGGAAAGAAACACACAGACACAATTAATCGTCAACTCCCAGAGAATATGGGAAAATATGGGAAGTGGTGGGGAAGACAAAAACCCAGAAAACCCAGATCGTTTTATTTGTGTGTATTTATTTGTGTGTCCTGGGGCCCCTGTAACAGGGGGGGGATGCATCGACCCCCACTCGCCCATGGCTCGCCGATGGGGGCCCGATGGCCCCAAGCCGCCCGGGAAGGTGCGGATTCACTGTCGGGGGCCTATCGCCGATCTGCCGGCGACGTATCGCCGCTTCCAGGTCGATGCCTCCCCCCTGTGCCAGTCCCCCCTATCACTGCCCCGCCCTCGAAGGCGGAGGCTTCTCGCACGCTTCTGCGCAAGGCTTCTGCCAGGCTCGGCGTGCTCTCCATCGGCCCGCCGCCTCGCCGAGGGAGCGCTCCAAGGGGGGGGTGCCTCGCGAGCTCGCCGAGCGGCCGCCAGAGGCACCAGCCAGTGTGTGTGTGTGCAGGAAGCTCCCTGGAACCCATACCCCAGACCCCTCTCCGAGGCGGGAACTTATACATGACCACCGCCCGGAGGATCAGTTGTCGGGGACCTCGGCCGGCGGTAGTAGGTATGGATATGCTCGGGCCCCCAGGGGCCAACATATGTCCATATCCACCGCCCGCTGGGGCACCAGGACGTCGGTTCCCGGGCGGTGGATGTGGACAAATCCCCGCCTCGCACCCGCCCTCGGGGACCAGGGGGATCGAGGACAGAGGTCGGTGGAAGCTCAGCCACGCGCAGAGGGGGGTGGGGGGAGGGGGGAGGGCTTCTTAGAAGCACCCCTGCTTCTTAGAATGCGCGGGCCTTCTCTATAGATGTAAGGCCGGCGCCTTCTAAGAAGCAGCCTCCTTCTAAGAAGCCTTCCCCCCTCCCTCCACCTCCTGTTGCGCACCGCCAAGAAGCGTCTGGAGATGCTCGTCGTCATGGGCAGACAGGCTGGCCAGGGTGGGCCCCGGGAGGGACCCCTGGGGGTCCTGGCTGCTTCCCAGCGGATCTGCCTCGTCGCGCCGCGAGAGAATCACGCCGCCGGGAAGTTTTTGTGCATGATTTTCGGCCTCCTCGGGCCCTCGCCGGGCCCTGGGGCCGTCAGCGAACGACCTATGGCGGTAGGCCGCTTTCGTTGTCTGTGGCTTCCGGTGGATCGCTCCCGGCTCGTCCTCCTCCTCCTCCTCCTCCTTTTTCTCCTGCTCCTCCTCTTTCTCCTCCTCCTCTCTTTTGTCCCCACATCCTGAGTGGGGTTCTTGTTCCCCACATCCTGAGTGGGGTTCTTGTTTTCCCAGAACACCCTCTCCTTCCCACCCACCTCCCGCTCCATCTTCCATACAGCACAATATTATTCCTACCACACACACCATACCATACCATAGTTCCTACCACACATACCATACCATACCATACCATACCACATACGTACCATACCGTACCATACCATACCATGGCGTACCATACGTACCATACCATACGTACCATACCGTACCATACCATACCATACCATACCATACCATACCATACCATACCCATACCATACCATACCCCTGCAGGGAGGCCCCGCCTGAGCGAGGAGGGTATCCGAAAACCATACTATTTACATGGTTTCGTGCCCCTCCCACCTCTCCAGGGAGGCAAAACCATACTATTTACATGGTTTCGTGCCCCTCCCACACCTCCAGGGAGGCCCCGCCTGAGCGAGGAGGGTATCGGAAAACCATACTATTTACATGGTTTCGTGCCCCATCCCACCTCTCCAGGGAGGCAAAACCATACTATTTACATGGTTTCGTGCCCCTCCCACCCCTCCAGGGAGGCCCCGCCTGAGCGAGGAGGGTATCCGAAAACCATACTATTTACATGGTTTCGTGCCCTCCCACCCTCCAGGGAGGCCCCGCCTGAGCGAGGAGGGTATCGGAAAACCATACTATTTACATGGTTTCGTGCCCCTCCCACCCCTCCAGGGAGGCCCCGCCTGAGCGAGGAGGGTATCGGAACCAACTGAGCATACACATTTCCCACCCCACACCCTCCAGGGAGGCCCCGCCTGAGCGAGGAGGGTATCGGAATACCATACTATTTACATGGTTTCGTGCCCCTCCCACCCCTCCAGGGAGGCCCCGCCTGAGCGAGGAGGGTATCGGAAACCATACTATTTACATGGTTTCGTGCCCCTCCCACCCTCCAGGGAGGCCCCGCCTGAGCGAGGAGGGTATCCGAAAACCATACTATTTACATGGTTTCGTGCCCCTCCCACCCTTCCAGGGAGGCCCCGCCTGAGCGAGGAGGGTATCCGAAAACCATACTATTTACATGGTTTCGTGCCCCTCCCACCCCTCCAGGGAGGCCCCTGAGCATTACTCTTCGCCAGGTTTCGTAGCCCTCCCCCCTTCCAGCGGGGCCCCGTCAAAGCGAGGAGGGCATCAAGAAAATGGGTCCCACGAAACCGTTAATCTCTTTATGTGGGGAACTCCGTTAGCATAATTTTCCTAGAACACCCTCTCCTTCTCCCTCTCCTTCTCCCGCCTCCCTACTATACTATACCAATACGTACCATACCAAAACCATACCCACCTACCATACTATACTTACCATACCACACCTACCATACCATACCTACCATACCATACCATACCGAACCGTATCATACCATACCATACCATACCATACCACATCATACCATACCTACCATGCCTACCATCCCAAACTGACAATACCGTACCATACTTACCACACCATGCCATACTAGACCATACCTGCCATACCATACCTACCATACCATACCATACCATACCATACCATACCATACCATACCATACCTACCATAAATAACAAAAACCTACCATACCAAAGCTACTATGTCATACCTACCACTCCAGAGAGTCCACGCCAGAGCGAGGGCAGTAGAGAGCGAGGCAAGGTTTCGTGCCCCTGCCACCCCTCCAGGAAGGCCCCGCCAGAGCGAGGAGGGTATTTGAAAGCAATGCTATTGATCATGCTTCGTCACCGTCCCACTTCTCCAGGGAGGTCCCGCCTGAGCGTGGAGGGTATTCGAAACATATGGTATTTATCGGGTTTCGTGCCCCTCCTACTCCTCCAGGGAGGCCCCGCCTGAGCGAGGAGGGCATTCGAAAGCAATGTTATTAACCAGGTTTCGTGCCCCTCCCACTCCTCCAGGGATGCCCCGCCTGAGCGAGGAGGGTGTTCGAAAACCATGTTGTTTATCAGGTTTCGTGCCCCTCCCACTCCTCCAGGGAGGCCCCGCCTGAGCGAGGAGGGTATTCGAAAACCGGATTTTTTTTAGCAGTTGTCGCGCACCTCCCACTCCTCCAGGGATGCCCCGTCTGAGCGAGGAGGGTTTTCGAATACCATGTTGTTTATCAGGTTTCGTGCCCCTCCCACTCCTCCAGGGAGGCCCCGCCTGAGCGAGGAGGGTATTCGAAAACCTGATTTGTTTCTCAGTTGTCGCGCCCCTCCCACTCCTCCAGGGAGGCCCGCCTGAGCGAGGAGGGTGTTCGAATACCATGTTGTTTATCAGGTTTCGTGCCCCTTCCTCTCCTCCAGGGAGGCCCCGCCTGAGCGAGGAGGGTGTTCGAAAGCAATACTATTATCAGGTTTCGTGCCCCCCCCACTCTTCCAGGGAGGCCCCGCCTGAGCAAGGAGGGTATTTGAAAACCATGTTGTTTATCAGGTTTCGTGCCCCTCCCTCTCCTCCAGTCAGGCCCCGCCTGAGCGAGGAGGGTCTTCGAACACCTGATTTGTTTCTCAGTTGTCGCGCACCTCCCACTCCTCCAGGGAGGCCCCGCCTGAGCGAGGAGGGTATTCAACAACAATATCATGTATCAGGTTTCGTGCCTCTCCCACTCCTCCAGGGAGGCCCCGCCTGAGCGAGGAGGGTATTCGAAAACAATGGCTATCAGGTTTCGCGCCCCTCCCACTCCTCCAGGGAGGCCCGCCTGAGCAAGGAGGGTATTCGAAAACCATGTTGTTTATCAGGTTTCGCGCCCCTCCCACTCCTCAGGGAGGCCCCGCCTGAGCGAGGAGGGTATTCGAAAACCATTTCATTTATCAGGTTGCGTGCCCCTCCCACTCCTTCAGGGACGAACGTGCTTCCTGAGCATCCGTCGTCTTCCTTCTCCCTGCTGCTCACCCTCATTGCCTTCGTCTGCCGTTTCTTTCGCACGTACTTTTGCGATGGTTTTTCCATTCATATTTGTATTAATTTGCTTTATTGATCCCATGAAGCCGTCAACATCCTTATGTCTGGAGCTCCGTCAGCATAATTTGTTAGATCCCTTCTCCTTCCGTCGCGCCCCTGGCCCTGAGTCGCCCTCATCCTCCTCATCCTCCTCCCGACCGCCCTCGCCGCCGTCTTCCGCCCCAGCGCGAGCCGAAGAAGAGGGCGCAGAGGAAGAGGCAGAAGTTCGCGGGGGTCGGGAGCGAGCAGGAGACGCCGCAGGGGGCTTGCCCCCCATGGCCGGCCGGAGCCGACGGGCCGCAAGACCAGAAGGGCGCCTCGAAGCAGCAGCCACACAGCCAACCAAGCTGAGCCGACCGAGCGCCACCGACTGTGATGGGCCTGCGTCCCACCACCACCACCACCATACGTTGGAGGGGGAAAGGAGATGGAGGACGGGGAGGAGGAGGACGAAGAGGAGGAGGACGAAGACGAGGAGGAGGTGGAGGAGGAGGAGGGGGAGGAGGACCTCCCCCTCCAACTTATGGTGTTGGTGGTGGACAACGGGCCCAGCAGACTGCGACCAGCCGAGCCGACCGAGCCGCGGATGCGGGCAAGATGTGCATACTTATCCCCCGCGTCTTGGACGTTCGGGAGTGGGCGCCCAGAGGCTGAGGCGCAGTGGCTCTGGATAAGCGTGTGGCCCCTTGGGGCCAGATGGTTGTCCATCCCCACGGCGCCTCGGGTGCCCGGGGAAGGGGGCCCGGCACTCCACGATGGCAGTTGACATGGATGTACATATTGCCCGCAGCGGACGCCCCTGATGGGAAAATGTCCTACCGCTCCGTCCATTTGTAGGACGGGGGAGAGGGGAGGATGAGGAGGTCCTCCTCCTCCTTTTCCTCCTTCTCCTTTTCCTTTTCCCTCTCCTATTCATGGTAGTCGTTGTGGAAAATGGGCCCATCAGCCCCTGAACGTGCTGGAAAGTCGCGCCTTTCTCTGGTGGCACGCGCAAGGGAGCGGCGCGGGGGGGGGCCCACCGAGATGGGTAATTCGGCCAGTGAGGCCAAGGCCACGTCAGTGGGGATAGGGACCAGTTAAGCAATGCCCTTGATCTTGCTTTCTTCCCATGTTCCAGAAGTGAAGCAGGCTGGAGCCCGATTTGCATTCACGTTCTCTTTCCTGGGAGCAGCCCCCACTATCACACCTCGTGACCCTTTCTCCTACCGCGGGCGACGGGCGAGAGAGGAGAGAACGGGAAAGAGTATGATGGAGGGAGGGAAGGAGCGAGGGAGGAAGGAACGGAAGGAGATGATGAGATGCGATGCAAACGATGACGAAGTCATGTATAGAACACACTGCCGCCCCCTGATCACGAGCAAAAAAGGAGCTGAACCGGAGCACGTGGAGCGGGCAACTAATTGGAGCCCGAGAATATTCGACCAAGAAACTTACGCTGTCCGCGAAGGGTGAAATGAGCCCAGCCTTGCCTGCACCTCGGATGAATACCTTTACCCTTGTGCCCTCAAAGAACATCAGAAGGCTACGCGGAGACGAAGTCACCTCGATACGGCCCAGTACAAGGATGAAAACACCACAGGCCGTCAGGCAACCTTGTATTCCGCACAAGCACATCAGCATCGCACGGCTCCACATTGAGATCGTCTCATCCACGAACTGCCTCGCGACATTGCCAACCAAACGAGCAACTTGCTGCTTCATTGCTGAACATACCAGTGCACTATGCACGATACACAGACGCAGAAGGGGAGTTTATTAGCCTTGGCCCAAGTACACCTCTCAGCCGATGGCTGCTCTTCTCCCACGTGCTGATCGAAGCATTCTAGCTTATGACGGTCGGCGCAAACGTTGCCTCCCACACCGAACCTTGCAATAATATGGCTGTCTGCCACTGCCTGCTTGTCCCACGTGTGTTGATCCAGGCATTGTAGCTGATGGCGATCGGCGCAGACTTCGCCCTTTCCTCACCAAACCTCGCTCCGACAGAAAATCACAGCCACTGCCTGCCCTTCTCGCACGTGCTGACCCAAGCACCGGAGCGGAGGAGGATCGGCCCAGACGTCGCCTCCCTCATCACGCTCCTCGATAACGAAGCCAGCTGCCACTGTCCGCCGCTCGCGCACGGGAAGACCCATGCGTTGTAGCAGATGGCGGGCTTCGCCTTCCTCACGTCGCCACGATGCTGCGGCCCCAGCCCTTTGTGACACTGAGCCTGAGAGCGCGCCGATGGGCCGTGCGAACAGCCAGTGCGCAGCAGCCACCGCAGAGGAGCACCGAGCAGCCTTTCGTGCGCTGGCTCACTGCAGCACTGCAGCGGGTAACGCGCCGACGGCTGCGCAGCAATCATGGGCACCTGCACGGAGGACACACGCGTGGCAGGAGCTCCTGAAGACCACGTTCACAGGCTGTGCCCGAGACCTGCAGGAAGACACTGACAACAGGCATCCGAATGAACGCCACCGTCATGAAGACGAACGCCGTCTCCAGCGGGAAGGCGAAGGACTGAAGGACAAAAGCACGATCAGGAAGGCGAAGCGGACCATGTCCAGGGAGAGGATGTGTACCAGGTCGGGCCGAGCGGCCAACTGCAAGAGGACGCGATGTCGGAGGGGCTCCAGAACCTGCCAGAGGCCTAGGAACTTCAGGAAGACCAGCCCGTAATGACGAGCCAGCTGCCACTGCCCGTGCGATGCGTCCCACTTCGTTGTCGCGAAGGTCTGCACTCGACGTGCGCCTGCCTGGGCGTCCCCCACGCGCTCAGTGACGGCGTGGACGTGACGTCGAAACTGACCAGAGCCCAAATGGGTACGGAGAGTCTCGAGCCACATATGCTTGAGAGGAAGAAATGAGGGAGGAGGGAGGAGGGAGGAGGGAGGACTTGAGGCGATATGGCTTTGGGGCGCCTTAACCCCGTTGGTGGGCCCAGCTATCTGGTGTCACCACCCTGTAGGGCCCCTGTAGGGCACGGTGGTCCGTTTTGCCGCGCCTGGAACGGCTGTGGCCGACGTTCCCCCCTCTTGGGCCACAGGCCAGATGGGGTTCCGCGCCTGCAACGGCTGCGTGACTGACTCGAGGCCACCTAAGCGGGCCAGAGGCGGGGAAGGGGTATGTTGTGTCTGGGAGGGGAGGGGGCAAGATCTGCCCAGGCGGCCGTAGTCGCCTTGGCTTTGGGTCCTCGTGGGCCTCCTCTTGGGAGCTTCCTGGGCCCCTCTCGGCCGTTCTCTTGGTCCGCTTTTTGGGTCTCTTGGGTCACTTAGCGCGGCCTCCATGCGCTCCTGCACGGCCCACCCGAGGAACCCCGCCGTGGGACACCCCTGGGCCCCTTTTTGGGGTTCCCCTACAGGTTCGCTTGGGGGGTTCCTGGGCCTCGTGCTAAGGCGACCCGAGGAGGAGGAGGAGGAGGAGGTGGAGGAGGGGGAGGGGTGTGGAGGGGAGGAGGAGGAGGAGGAGGAGGAGGAGGAGGAGGAGGAGGAGGAGGAGGAGGAGGAGGAGGAGGAGGAGGAGGAGGAGGAGGAGGAGGAGGAGGAGGAGGAGGAGGAGGAGGAGGAGCAGGAGGAGGGGAGGAGGATGAGGAGGAGGAGAGTAGGAGGAGGAGGAAGAGGAGGAGGAGGAGGAGGAGGAGGAAGAGGAGGAGGAAAACGGAGGAGAGGAGGAGGAGGAGGAGGAGGAGGAGGAGGAGGAGGAGGAGGAGGGGAGAGGAGGTGAAGGAGGAGGAGGAGGAGGAGGAAGAGGAGAAGGAGGAGGAGGAGGAGAGGGTTTTCTGGCCCTGGCAGGAATTGCGCGTATACGCACTTTCCTTGCGGCCTCCCTGCGCTCTCTCGTTCCCTGTCACGCCCGGCCGCGGTTTGCACAAGACGGGAGCCCTCCCCGCCGGGGGCGGAACTCTTGAGCTCAGCTTCCTGGACAGACCTCTTAGATGGCCTGGAGAGCTCTGGGCCTCCCAGATGGTGTCGGAGCAGACGGGGTCGGAGGATCGCGCCGCATCGCCGATGCATCGACGATGCGGCTCGATGCGGAGCCCGTGTTTCCCCCCACCACACCGACGTCGCGCCGATGCGTCGCCGACGTCGCCGATGCATCACCGATGCATCGCCGATGCATCGGCGATGTGGTGCAATCCTCCGACCCCATCTACTCGGACCCCATCCAGGAGGCCTCTAGGAGAGCACAGCTAGGATCCAGGACGCAATTCGTCCAAGCGTCTCTGCCTGCCCAATAGGGGGCTCCAGGAGCGGAGTGCCAGCCCGGCCTCCGGAGAGCTCTCGGCGGAGCACGGCCAGAGCAAGGGCCCAACTAGGCGTCCCAGGCTATGTTTGTTTCGGCCCGGCCATGGCCGCGCTTTCGGCTGCGGCTCTGGGCGCGACGTCGGGGGGAGGAAGGAGGACTGTGGAGGGAGAAGGGAGGGGGGGGGGATGGACAAGCTAAGTGCGCTCGCGTCATATCTGACGTTCTACCCCTCGCTCCCATCCCTTACCATTGCGGAGATCTCCTCTCTATTCGCACAGTCGGATGCCGAGCAGGACAATGATCCCGAGAGGGTGCGCGACGCATCGTAGAGCACGCCATAGCAGGGCGTGGAAGAGCACGGCAGAGCGTAGTATGTCATAGCATGGCGTGGCGTTGCGTATTATAGTGAAGACTTGCATCACAAATCATTGCAACGCAAATAATGGCATCGCACAGCGTCACATAACAGAACATGACATAGCAGGGCGTTGAGAATCAGAGCGTAGCATTGTATAGCATGGCATTGCACTGCGTAGTCAAGCACTGCATATCCTAGCATTGCAGCTGAAGGCATGGCATCGCACAGTGGAACACCTTGTAGCATTGCACTGCATGCCGTGGTATGGCACTGGACATAATGACGCCAGCGCTGCAGCAGGAACACGATTCGGAACGAGCGGAAGCGTGGCAATGAGGCCAGCGCTGAAGCGGGAGCACGATTCGGAACGAGCGGAAGCGCGGAAGTGAGGCCAGCGCTGCAGCGGGAGCACGATTCGGAACGAGCGGAAGCCTGAAAATGAGGACAGCGCTTCACCGGGAGCAGTATTTTGAAAAAGAGTCCAAGCGAAAACCCAATTCCCGGGAGTCCTGTGCGTAAAATGAGTACGCGGAGTGGGGCTGAATATCTTCCGGACGTCATCAAGAGAGAGAGGAGAGTAGTATTCATATTGTGCAATCGTGCAGGGAGCAGGGAGGAGAAGGAGGAGGAGGGGGAGGAGGGAGAGGGAGGAGTGAGGAGGGAGGAGGGAGGAGGACGAGGGAGAGGAAAGCCAAGGAGGAGCAGAATGCATCAACGATGCTGCAAAACACCCTCCCGTCCAATATCCCTTTTTTCACAAATTCCCTACAAGCCCTCCTCCTCAGTACAAGAAGCGCGCGCCCCCCTGAAAGACGATCATTCCATTTGTCTGCCATCCAGGCGATGATGATAATGATGATGATGATGATGATGATGATGATGATGATGATGCTGATGATGATGATGATGATGATGATGGTGATGGTAATGATGATGATGATGATGATGATGATGATGATGATGATGATGATGATGTTGATGGTGATGGCGATGATGATGATGATGATGATGATGATGATGATGATGATGATGATGATGGTGATGATGCTGATGATGACGGTGATGATCATGGTGATGGTGATGGTGATGTTGATGGTCATGGTGATGCTGTTGGTGATGGCGACGACGATGATGATTATGATGCGAATGTAACTGATGATGATTGTGATCCGGACGACGATCATGATGATGCTGAAGAAGAAGAGGATGAGGATTATGATGATGGTGATGGTGTTGGTGGTTGTGTTTGTGTTTGTGATGCTGGTGGTGATGATGATGATGATGATGATGATGATGATGATGATGATGATGCGGATGGTGATGCTAATGATGGTGATGGTGGTGGTGATGATGATGATGATGATGATGTTGGTGGACATCAAGGTGGTAATACTGGTGATGCGAATTACGCTTATAATGATGACGGGGATGATGATTCCAATGATGATGATGCTGATGCTAGTGAAGATGATGACGATGATGATGATGGTGGTGGTGACGATGATTGTGATGATAATGACGCGGATTACGATGATGATTACGATGCGGATGCTGATGATGATGCTGATGACGACGATGAGGATGATGGAGATCAAGAGAGATGATGAGGATGTTGATGATGATGCTGGTCGGGAGGAGGATGCAAAGGAGCTTGATGATGATGACGATGATGGTTATGACGACGACGACCATGATTACGAGGAGGATAATGATGATAATGTTAATGATGATGACGATGCTGATGCTGATGCTGATGCTGATGATGCTGCTGCTGCTGCTGATGATGATGATGATGATGATTGATGGTAGCGATGATGATGCTGATGATGATGATGATGATGCTGGTGATGGTGGTGATGATGATGTGATGATGCTGTTGTTGCTGCTGCTGCTGCTGCTGATGATGATGATGATGATCATGATGAGGATGATGATGATGATGATGATGATGATGATGATGATGATGATGATGATGATGATGCTGATGGTTCTTCGCCAGGGCGTTTTTGTTCTACCGTTTTTAACTCGGCGTGTCGGGCATTTTTTCACAGCGTTTTTAGGTTCCAGCAAGACAACCCAAAACGCTAAAAACAACGATCCATTGTTTTTTGTTTTTAGCTACGGTTCTTAGCGCTTTCAGGTCTGTTGGCTGCATTGTTTCACATTGCCGTCGACGACGTCCGCCTGGCGTGCACATCTCATCCCTCTGGCTCTCTCAGTCCGACGGCTCGCCGTCCTCGGAGCCCCTCCTGGGGCGTCGGGCCTCCGGGCCAGATTGCCGATTGCCCCTCTTGGGGCCATCGGACCGCCGGGCCTGTTTCGGGCCGGTGTCAGACTGGTGTGGGAGTGTTCTCTTTTTGTTTTGCCGCTTTCAGCTCTGCGAGGGACCACGGCGACAGCAACGAAACATGGGAGTGAAGACAGCAGGGAAGGCAAGGAACAGGCTTCGACAAGAAATACAGCAAAAACGCTACCACCGATTCTGATCCACAGCGACGGGCCTGAAAACGCTCGAACAACTGAGGAAAAGACGCTTGAACACCGTCGTGTTGTTTTAGCTTATTTAGCTCGTCAAGAGCTCAACGTGCAAAACGGTACAACACAACAAAGAGAAGAAACTAGATGGCGATGATGATGCTGCTGATGATGATGCTGATGATGGTGATGATGCTGCTGATGATGATGCTGATGCTGCTGATGATGATGTTGAGGAAGAGGAAGGGGAAGAGGAAGAGGAGGAGGAGGATGCTGATGCTTATGTTGATGCTGATGAGGCTGATGTTGCTGATGATGATGCTTCTGCTGCTGCTGATGATGATGGTGATGATGACGACGACGATGATGATGCTGATGATGATGCTGATGATGATGATGATGATGATGATGATGGTGGTGGTGGTGGTGGTGATGATGATGATGATGAGGAGGAGGAGGAGGAGGAGGAGAAGGAGGACGAGGACGAGGAGGAGGAGAAGGAGGAATGCGATAGGAGAGGGATGAGGAGGATGAGGAGGATGAGGAGGAGGAGGAGGAGGAGGAGGAGGAGGAGGAGAAGGAGGAGGACGAGGAGAAGGAGGAGGTATATGTAGCGGGAGAATGGAGGGAGTGGGAAGCAGGAGCAGGAGGAGGAGGACGAGGCGGAGGAGGAGGAGGAGGAGGAGGAGGAGGAGGAGGAGGAGGAGGAGGAGGAGGCGAGGGGGGAGGGGGGGCAGGAAGGAGGAGGGCCCCCTCCGCTTCCACCTAGGAGGAGCCCCCCCCGCCCCCCCGCAGGAGCTGGCGCAGGCGCTCTTCGAGGAGCGTTCCGAGCAGCTGCTGTCGAGGACGCTCGAGCCCCTGCGGGAGGCCATTATCGACGTGCCCAGGACGGGGATCGTCGGAGGAGGGCCAGCCCCAGACCCCTCGCGTCGTGAATCACCACCCACCAAACCACCCCAACCCAACCCGAAGGCTCAGATTTACCCTCGATTTCCAGTGGGGGGGGTCGGGAAACGTCGAAAAAACACGTGTGGAACCCTTAGCCCCCCCAACCCGAAATTCGGGTCTTCGGGTTGGGTTGGGGTGGTCTGGCAGGTAGTCAGTGAACAAACATATTCCATATTCTCGCACTCCGCAGTTGGGGATAAGAGCGATGGGGGCGGGTGCGGGGTGGGTCGCGGGGCTGGTCGCGGGTGGGTCGCGGGGTGGGTCGCGGGTGGGTTGCGGGTGGGTCGCGGGTGAGTCGTGAGTGGGTCGCGGGTGGGTCGCGGGCGGGTCGTAAGTGAGGTCGCGAGTGGGCCGACGACAACAACAACAACCCCAACAATAAATTTAAGGTTGTTCGCTCCTACCTGCCCCCTGCCATTTAACACGTCGGAGGTTGGGGGTTGAGATCGCAGTGGAACGGAGACCCCCAACCGGGAAATCGTTTCGTTTCGTGTCGTGTCGTGCGTGCGGGCGAGGCGAAGCTGCGTGGGCGCGCGAGAGGAATGAACCCGCCGTTGCTAGGGCGAAGTCAAGACAAATGATTCTCCTCCGCCCGCCCGCCCGGCGGTGGCTCGCGGTGTCGTGTCCCTCGGTGTCCCGCG